TGTGCTGGAGAAAGTACAACTGGCAGGAATTCAGCATGATGGGTTCTCGACATGAAAAGGGAGATTAGTCAGGACAGGGGTCAGTTTTCAGTTTGAGAGGAAGGATACTGTTAGTTTCCCAAGGCCCAGCTGGGAAAGCCGAGGCGCTCTCCCTCCCCCTCCCCCCAGGAGTCACACAAAATGACCAAAATAACACTGTGATCAAAACTCAAGTTTGTGTTAAAAAAAAGTCTCCCCTAGTTCATTTTCTAGAGTTTTCTTTTTCAGAAATGACAAAGATATGAAATGTGGTTGGGGTTAAAACTAAATATAGCTCCAACTCCTCAGCAAAGAAGCACATACAGACAACACATAACACCACACACACAACCCAAACAATTCCACATCCTGTTCCATGCAATTTTATATAAGGGGTTTCCCCCTTACCTTTCTTGCCATAGTTAGGTCTTTGGTGTTTTAGTAATAAAGACTTAAAAAAAAATGTCTCCCCATGTTGACTACTGGTAGTGAAACAAATGAATGTTTGGGCCCTGTGTGCCTGGCTTAGGGCCCGAACTTGGAGACAAATGGAAAGAAGGGTCTTTAGGTCAGGCCAGCTCATCTGGAAGGCCCAGAACATGTCAGCGAGAGGGAGGGGTGCTGGGCTCAGGAAAGGAGCAGGGGTGAGTGGGGAGAATGAATTGGGAGTGATTTGGGGGAAGGAATATGTCTTGAGAATATGGTGAGGACATGTTTGATATATGGGATGGCGAAAAGCAGCTCCGAACCTTTAAAACTTCTGATTGAGAGTTTTCCAGGGAGGAGGGTTGGGAGGGTGGTCATTTTTCTTCATGATGGGAAGCTAGGAAAGAAGCCAGCAGGTGTGGCTGCAGGACTGAGGGGTAGACGTGGATGAGATGGAGGGGGCCCAGCTGTGGGCGGCCTCAGCCAGCTCCAACCCTCTGAGACTGTCCAGACCATGAGCCGCCAAGGGTCTAATTTCTGCTGCTCTGTCCGTCCTGTGAATGATCTGTCCCATCTCAGTGGCGTAAGAGCCTAATCCACCTGTTGAGCCATAGTCGAGTGTTATGGGTTGAATGGTGTCCCCAAAAAGCTATGTTGAAAACTGACCCCTGTCCTGACCCCCAGTACCTATGACGGTGACCTTATTTAGAAACAGGATCTTTGCAGATGCAGTTAAGACGAGGTCAGTAAGAAGGGGTCCTAATTCAATGTGACTGGAGTCCTTGTGAGAAGAGAATGCCACATGAACACAGATGCATAGGTAACATGCCAGATGACTGTGGAGGCGGAGACTGGGGTGATACAGGTGTGCAAGCTGAGGAATATGAAGGAATGATGGCAACCACCAGAAGTTGGGAAGAGGCCAGGAAGGATCCCGCCAGAGTCTCAGAGAGTGCAAGGCTCGGCCGACACCTTGACTTTGGACTTCTAGCCTCCAGAATGGTGGGGAGGATGTTTGTTGTTTTAAGCCACCCAGTTGTGATACTGTGTAATGGCAGCCCTAGAAAATGAATCCACTGAGATTCTTCTATTGCATGATTTCAACTCTGTAACCAAGAGATATGTGGTGTAGTTAGTCCTTTAAAATGACAGCAGATATTAGTTTTAATGCTGAAAAAAGAATAATGAATTTATAGGGTTCCGCTATTATGGCAAGAGATGCCTTAAATAATCTATATTCAGAGATGACATGATTTAACTTTCACCAAGGGTCTGTGTCCTGACCATGTAACCGCACATCCACACCGAGGTGACCTGAGTCATACACCGTTATCAGGTAGGAATTCATAGTAACCAAGTCGAGAAATTACTTATCAGACCATTTTTCTCATAAATATTAGAAAAACAAAACAAAAAAACTAACAAAGGCTTGGGAAAAGAAAAAGAGAAAGGAAGGAAGGAAGGAAGAAGAAAGAGAGAGAGAGAGAGAGAGAAAGAAAGAGAGAGAAAGAGAAAGAGAAAGAGAAAGAAAAGAAAGAAAGAAAAAAAGAAAGAAAGAAAGTAAGAAAGAAAGAAAGAAAATAAGAAAGAAAGAAAGGAAATATAAAAAGAATGAACAACTTTACTACTGAGACGAAAGGTCACGCTCACTTAGAACAAGCCTTTAACTTGCTCTGTTTCTGTATCGAGATCTATGTCGTAAAAGCAGGGCCGCGTGGGCAGTCCCGGCATGGTGCTCATCTGGCGGAGAAAACGAAAGTGGTGTGTTAGCCAACGCTGCGCTGCGATCGCCCCGAACACGGTCCATCTACAAAGATTAACTGTACGATTCAATTCGGCGTCATAAAACTTAAGGTTGCATACATATAAGCTCTCTCTTCAAATCCACTATCTGCTATTTCAATCTTTGTTTAAAGAAATGAAATAGAAAAGGCAAATGTCCACTTTTTGAAAACAGACCATCTACCTTGTCCCACAGTCCCACAGCATGCTGCAGCTCCGAAACAGTGATTTCAAACCTTTTTTTTCCTAAATCACATCTTAATGTCGAACCCCAACAAAGGTGAGCCTCTCTGGACAATAGGTGTGCGAGGAGTGGACGATGGCCTCCTCCTTACTCCCAATTATGATGCTCAGGACTCCTTTTTGTAAAACCTCCAACTCTTTGAGCACAGTTTACAGACTCCTGTTCTGCAGCGAGCAGTCACTCTGGCCTACCTTCACAACAAGAATGGATGTTTATCGAGAACTTACTATGTGCCAGGAACTGTGCTGAGTCCTTCACTTATCTTACCCTCCAAACAACACTATGAGACAGATATTTTTTTTTTACATCCATGTTATAAGGAAAGTCACAGAGGTTTAGAGGCTAAATGACTTGTAATAAGCAGCAGGTAATAAGCAGCAAAACTGGAAATCTGACTCCACGCCTGTAATCTCAAAGGACTCATTTGACCACCACCTTTGGGGCACTCTATGAGCTTCCCATGGATAACTTAACTAAGCCTCCAACCCCACCCCTATGAGGTAGGTACTAATTTTGGCCCCACTTTACTGATGAGGACATTTGGGCACAAGAGGACACAGCTGGCTAGCAGTGGGGACAGGATTAAACCAGGACCCACGCCCCTCACTGCTCTGCTGCACCATGTCTCAGATCAGAATTTTCCAAGGTGTGCCCTTTGCCACCTGCGTCAGAAACCCCGGTGTGCTGGGGAGAAGCCCAGGTTCCCCTGGTGGTTCACGCATGAAAACACTGGTCTAGTATCCAGACTGTGAGGCTTCGGGAGGATCCACTCCTTGTAGGCTTTAGCATTTCCTGCTGTGTTTTCGCACGTCCTTTTCATACCAAGGATGCTCATAAAGGAGTGTTGCATCCCATCGCTAGGAGGAAAGACACCTGGGATTCTGTTAAGTCTGGCTCTTTCGAGGGCTAAGTGCTGTTGGGCAAACTCCAGCCGGCCCTGCCAGGGGACGCTGAGAGAGGACGCAGTGGTACAGCCAGCACTCAATGGCATCCATGGTTTACCCGCTCCTCCTCGTCTGGCAAAAAGTTCTCAGCCGACACGGAACCCAGATAAGGCTTCTACGATAGAACCCAGCTCTCTCACTCTGCACTTCCTTTCGGTAGTGACTCAGGATGTCTTCCGGTCACCCTCTCCTCGACAGACTCTTGCTGCTCGGACTGGGGCCTGTGGACCAGCAGCGCAAGCATCACTGGGAGTTGTTGGAAATTCACACCTCAGCGCCCGCCCAGGCCTGCTGAGTTGGGGTCTGCACTTCAGCAGGTCCCCAGGTGATCTGCGCGCACCCTGCAGTATGAGAAGCACTGGCTCGGTCTGTGTGGCCTGGGATGCTTCTGACTGCTATTCCTGCCCACTCCCCATTCGCGTTAGTACTGAAAGGAAGCTTGGTGGGGGAGGGGACCTGTGCACCTGCAGGCCTCACTGGCCACCTGGACCCGGAGAATGTGAGTGAGGAGGGCAACGGGATGTGCTCCCCATGTGGCTGGACGCATAAAACACTATGATATATGGTGGCTAGCTCCTGTCCTGCTAACTGCAAGGATTGTACTTTATATATATTATGGGCTAAAAAGGCTTCTGGGACCTGTCTGGAACATAGGTGCCATTTATAGCACGTCTTTGGGAAAACATGCTGTGGGTCTCAAGCAATTAAAGATTTGGTGCATACCCTGTTTGTCGGTGGGGACTTCCTGTATTTCGAGCTACTTATCCTCCTGAAGTTTCTGTTCCTCGCAGGCGGAAAACGTTTTTCCCTGGTTACTATGGTGGCTGCATATATCTGAGGAGACCTCAGAAAGAAACCCACGCTTACCGCGTTGGCGCTGGGACACCAAACAGGAGGGACACTCGGTGGGAACTGTTCGTATTTTCTTCCGTTCCCTGGGAACAACTCACAGCAAGAAAAATTGCTCTCTAGCGATTCTTCTGCCTGACTGCATTCTGACATGGGCATTTTAAGATGCCTCTATAATCTGCATGGGGCTATGGATTTGGAAAAAAGAACCAGCAGTGTATACTTTAAAAGAGAAAGAAACGATCATGTTCAGCCGCAGTGAGGCTGCCCCAGCCCGTAAGTCAACGTGACAGGTTAGCCAGACTTTACGGCTGCTGCTCCTGACGCTGCTACACGATCCACTGCAGGGCAGCACTAGGTCTGAGCCGGCTCTAAATGCAGGAGAGGTAGGAAAACCCAGGAGGAAGCCCCTGGGCAGTGCATCTGGGCCCATTGGAACAAAGCTACAGTGGAAGCTTCTATTGTGGATAACGCAACTGCCCTGTATGCTTGTTTGCACACTATTTTTTGTAGACATGAAAATTCAACTCTCCACCATTAATTTTTAGTTGATGCAAGACCAAGAATGGCCAAGGAAGAGTGTGATTTATGTGGTCGCTGGAGCTGATCTCTTGGCTGCAGTGAATCAGAGCGTGCATCTTTTGGTTATTCTGATTCTGTCACAAAATCGGGAGCCAAAGTATCAGATGCCAGGAAGAAGCATTAAATGTCTATCCTCTATTTTCAACTTATGTCTCTCTGATGGGGGAAACAGCAGTCTAATCATTAGATTCCCGTGTTCCTTTCTGATGATGCGACCATCGCTTGCCAGAATCAAGACGACCAAAAGCAACAACAGACGAGAAAGCACAGCTTGCTGAGCTGAGGGACTCCCTGCCCTGGGGACAAAGAACCATCATCAATAAACCCACTCTTAAAAATAAAACTTCTGCTGAGTAGACGTAATAAGGAATTATGTTAATAGGACATCAAATTCTCTCTCAATAAAACACTGGTATCAAAGGACTGTCGACCCAGACAAGAGGCAGGACAGCACTACAAGAAGGAGTTGGGATGGCCCTTGGAAGTTGACCTCTGGTCCCACGCCTGGGGTCAGTGGTGATCAGTGTTGACTTTATCTGCGCCCTCTAAGGACGCCTCTTGCTTAAAATAATGAGGGAGCGACTAATTTGTACTTACTCGTCATGGTGCATTAACGGATTCTTTTACAAGGGCCAAAAAAACCACAACACCAAACCATGGGCTTTTGCCCCTCATTTTAACTATAATGACTCTTCCAAATCTTTACTGATTTCAGGTTAAGCTTATTTTGAAGAAATGATGAGTTCTATGAATAGACTTTATAATCATATGTTAAAACTAGTAAACGTCTAATGCTATGCGTACAGCTGAAACTAATGTAATATTGTATGTCAACTGTAATTGGGAAATTAAAAAATTAAAAAAACTAATAAAGAGAAAATTTTCAGATACTTAAAAGTAGTCATTAGAAGTAAAAGTAGAACAGTTTTGGCATGAGTAGAAAAATTATTTTAAATTCTATTTCATAAAGTGATAGAATCATAATTTCTACTTAACTAAAATATCACTGTAGTTAATTTTGTTGTGTTTGAGAAATAATTTCTTTTCTCACTTCTCCTTAAATCTACTACTTTTTCCTACTGAATAAATCATCCAGCTTCATTTTGGTTCCAAAAATAAGCATTTTTACTCACATTTTGTTCCTCGGTTCATGATCTGAGGTAGAATCCTTTCTACACATTTCTTTCCTCTTCCAGTAGATGACTGAACAACTAACGAGACTATAATGTTAACTACATTATGATATAATTTAAGTAAAAAGATTATTTTTTGGTGAAATAATAACTCAAAAATTTAAAGTATTAAGCGAAAGTATTTTCTGAGTTGTAAATACAATGCCCATCGCTTCTTGGCGTCCTCGCCAAGGTCATGTGTAAATACAGAGCCTGGCAACCTTAGGTCCACAACAAATACTTCCTTAAATAGGTGAATACAATGAAGGATGATTAGAGAATTAGGAAACACTAAGAAAACTTCTCGAGGATCGGGCTTCTGTTTCTTCCCTTCTTCTTCTTTGGAATGTGAGGGACAGAAACAGTTATATTTAATGGTCATTTGGACAATTAAACAAGCTACTCTAAGATAATGCATGAGGAAAAATGGCCCAGTATAAACACATCAAGTGACTGAAAGAAGAGAGATATGAAAAATCATTATAATGAAAACAGGGCTTCTGCCACTGGGATTTCATTTGCCTGACTTAGTGGAGACAGATGTTCTGCGATCTTTTTCTGGGCAGTTAGGTAACATCCACCTGCCCAGCTGGTGACTGCATTCAGAAGCTGATCTCTGTTTTACTCCCAAGGGTACTCGGGGAGTTGGGGGTCCTGTTTGAGGGTCTCATTAGAGCTCACTTATCTCTCCCGGTGGCCAGTGGGTGTCCTTACTGTGTGAAAGGACACACTGATGTTTCATTTACCTAGCCACCTTTGCTGAGCACTCACATGGGGACACCAAGGTGACCGGGACCTCGTCCTTGTGGACAGACCAAAAAAGTGGATCATTGGGACATTTCGGTCAATTCACTTTTTATTTTTCAGTTGAAAATGAATCATTTTCATTCTGGTTTTTTTTTTTAATATAAAAAGAATGAACATAATAAATTCTTAACTTATGACTTACTGAGATGGAAGTCATGTTCAATTACTATAAAAATTACCATCTTGCGCTCACATATCGTCCCAGAATAACACAGCTCAGATTATTCCAATTTATTTCAATGGCCTTGAATGAAACTGTGAGCAAGCACAGTTTTTCTTCTTTTGTTAATAAAACTGTAATTTCTTTGAGTGGTAGGGAGCCTGTTCCCTAGCTAACCTTTGTGTGAGTCTTAAAAAATT